GAGAGGCAGAAATATAGAGAGAGAGCAGTTTCTTGACACAAAAACATGAGAGAAACGTGTATTTAAGTGTAAGATTTAAGTATAATGAGGACACGTGAACACAGCATCCTACACGCTCTCATATGACAGTACTGCATACCCCAGTACTGCATACACCAGAGCTACTGTACAGTCATACTTCAAGCACAAACTCACAAATGGACTTTTTGATTCCGGTCTCGCGTGGGGGTTTTAATTGGACGATTCACGGCACAGACACTTCTCCGGGGACCACTGTGCTTACTCCACAAGCTACGGCGCCTGCAACGTTTACTTGACATTTGAGTTAATCTGCGAGAATGTAGTACTTCTGAAATCGATGTATCTTCTCGAGGTTTTTGGGATCGTTTAGTATGATTGTGGCAATGTTTGATCCTGAGCCAGTCAAGAAAAAAAAACAACAAAACTTCATATTTAGGTTTCTAATACTGTATTCTATTTGTACGCATTTGTGTACCTAACATACACTCACATCATAATATATATATTTTTTTTTGTTGAGTTTTTTCAAGGTTAAATCTGTTTCTTTTTAGCTGTGCATATGAGTGGAGATGTTTTTACGCTGTACTTTTTTCTTTTAATGCTAATTTCATGATGATTATTATTGTGTTGATTTGATTATATTGTGATTTTAATGTCTTATTCCATAAAAAACTTTGAATGAACTGTGGCAGAGTGGTTAGCTCTACAGTCCTCCTTTGTTCAAAATGTGGGCGTGTCGCTGAATTGTTATTGGCCAATTATTATTCTTATTACATAAAGGTGCACTATGTAACTTTTCTGAATGGGTTTCCACCACCTGCTTGTTTCCATGGACATGTCATTGCTCTGGATCGACTATTCCACACCATTTATTCAACTGCATGTTGATTTAAAAAACATTCATTTCTACTGTGATTGGGCTCGCCTCTTCACAGATCTGACCTGTAACTTGGCCTGGTGGTGTCAGTTGCTTGTCTTCATGGAGATAAAAAAAAAAAAAAAAAAAAAAAAGGTGAATGTGGTGATTTTAAACTGTTCTGCAAATAAAAGTGAAAGTATTTGTTAGAATGCCAACGATGGATAATTTCAGGCAACACAATAAAATCTCCATGGAGACAAGCAGATGGAAAATGTTACACAGTGCATGTTTAAAAGTAGGAATGGATACGCACATCATTTCTTCAACTTTGGCTACGTTTACACTGAAACAAATCACCGTATCGGAAATTATTTGTGTCCAGACACATCGTTTCTGTGTCCGCAAGCCTTCCCTATCCACACAGCTTTGAACACATTTGTTTACGTTTTACAGAAACAAAACTTGCAAACTAAGTGCTCAAAAAACATCTCGCTATTGTGCGCTGGTGCGGTTCAGCTTCTGTCGAACTAAAGGACACGACTCAGGGAATTATATATGTGTTCTTTCTGTGACAGAGGGGTGTTCTGCTAATAGTGAGTCTGTTCTGTGCTTTTATCAATTTGGAGATGGTTCATGTTAAACTTTTCAGAGATTATACATCTGCAGGTCATACGCATAGACCCTTTATATGAATGGACAAATGATTGATTTGCCGATGAATTACTTCGTGGCACATAGACCTACATCAGCGTATCAGCGTTTTCAGGCATCCACACGGTGCCAGATCAGACTTGTACTCAGATGAATTCGTGGGAGCTGATGGCATCCAGATCGTTCTATCTCTGGAACTGTTTTCCATCAGATTAGTGTGGACGAACACTGCATCCACAACGAAAACAACTTCAATACATACTAGAGTGGATGAGGCCTAAATAACAGTTGTCTGGTTTTAGACCATGTAGAAAGTCTTGTAACTTGGACAGTCAATCTGCAAACTATAAAAAACAAGCTATAACAGACCTTTAAAAGGGCTATCTATCACTATATCCAATTGTGTTTCGCTGTTGACTGTCCAGAGACTATACCAAGCCCAAAGGTGCTTGCTTTCGACTTACAATTCATATTTTAGAAGCCATTTATTAAAGTTGCATCTGCTTTTCTCCATGGAGATGTTATTGCTTTGTCTGGAATGTTTCACAGTATGGTATTAAGCCTTTTTATATTCATCGAGACCAAACCAGACCAAGTTACAGGTCAAATCTGTGGAGAGGCGACCCCACTCACAGTCAAATGCCTATTTTTCTATTGAGCTATAAAACCACGTGTAGTGTAATAAACGTAAGATTGTTTAGGGCTGTTTAATGTCATACTGTGGAACATTCCGGGCCGAGGAAGTAGATATCCATAGAAACAAGAAGTTGACGGACCACCAACCAAAAAGTTACATAGTGCACCTTTAATAAAGAGCTTTTTTGTGTTGTCAAAAACAGATAAGAGCTATTTTAAGGTTTTGTAAGGTCTTCTAGGTTTACAGTTCACTTGTATAGCACAACTTGTATTTTACTGCAATCCAAGCACTACTCCATCTGTTCTGTTACCGTTCTGAGAGGGCTGATCAGGGCCCCCGTACTTTTTCTTAATTAATTTCTGTTTGTCCAGCTTCTGATAAAAGGGAACTCTCAATCTCATCATGGACATGTAACACAATAATGGAAATCTGTAACCCACTTATTTTCAATCAAATCCACTATTCTGAGAAGAATCTGGACCAATTTGTACCGCAAACTAACAAATCAAAAAATTACTAAAAGATTCTAATTAATAGGTATTTTATATTCATTCCGCCTAGACTTGTTTGCCTCATTACAAGCCTCTTAATCTATTTTTTACTGGGGTTTGCTTCAGTTTTGACATGGGAGTTTTCAAGACCAAACAAATGCTCGGTGTATTTCAGAGTTTATCAGAACATCCCCAGGAACACCAGCTATACCCGTTCTTATATTTACCCCAAAAAATATAGACGGAATTTGAAATCAGGCTTTCCTCCCGTGTAGAGTTTGTTCCCAATCCAAACTAGTGAACAGAGAGAGCTAGAGGACAGCAGAGGCCAAAACTTTTTAAAAAATTGATAATATCTGTGGTACAAAAGGTCTGTGTCTGTTTGTGCAATTGAACCCTCCAGTTGCGGACAGTTCCCATGCCTGCCACATTTCCTGTTGACATTTGTCGTTTGAAGTAATCAATCAATAAACAGTCTGTATCTGACATGAAAGGACGGCCGTGACAAGCGCCCCCTCTGGCCTGATGGTGACGGCGCGGGGATGTGCTGAAGGCCGTACTGTCCCACTGCGCGATGGTGTCAGTGAATGGGCCCCGAGTTACTACGTTCAATGTCCTTCCCGCTGTTGCCGTGGTGCATACAAAGCCTTTACTCAAAGCATGCTGGGTAAATTAAAACTACATTAGAACGATTATGTGAATATTTTAACTGCGCGGCTCATGTGTGATTTCAGTACACACAGAAAGTACTAGTATTTCACAAGTACTCGTTGCTATGCTCCCTACCGTCGCAAACTGACCCAACAGAACTTTAACTTTTAATGAGCCCTGTTATTTTTGTCTTATTATTTCAAGCTAAAAATAAAATGTTGTTTCTTAATAATCCAGTCATAGCTGCTAATATAGAAAGTGTCATTTGAATGCAGATAGACATGAGTCATAGCAAACTTGTACTTATACTGCAGGTCCTATGTCTCGGAGTAGTGATTAGTGTTGAAGGAAAAGGTGCATTATGTAACTTTTTCTGGTAGAGGGTCCTTTAAATGCTTTTCTCCATGGAGGTGTTATTGCTTTGTCTCCAATGTTTCACAGTGTGGTAATGAACCTTTCTATCTTCATGGAGCCCTGTGGAGTTTTTATAGGTATTTTTAGCTATAAAACCACCTGTAATTGAATAAATGTAAAAGTAGAGCTGTTTAATCTCAGGCAGAGCTATGACAAATCCATAGAAACAAGGAAGTTTCTATGGATTTGGAACCAAAAAGTTAAACAGTGTACCTGAAAGATGTGCAATTTTATTTGTAAACTCCAGGGTTTTCTGAGGTCCAGTATGTAACTTTTGAGCTGAAAACAACAAACCTTACATCTCCACAAAAATGACTTCTTTGGCCTGAAGGATGGTCACCTCCTGCCAGTTTCCATGGAAATGTTTTTCCTTTGACAGTATGCCATAAAACTTATCAATCTCCAGAAAGAAAATGTTTTACTTTTTATTTCTAAGGAATTATGAAAATGATGTGGCACCTAGATCTAGAAAATTACATATTGTTGCCTTAAAGGTGCACTGTGTAACTTTTCTGGTAGAGGGTCCACTGTGTGCTTATGCTTGTCTCCATGGAGATGTTGCTTTGTCTAGAATACCCTAGGAGGCTGTTAAACATATCCGTCTTGCGTGTACTCAATATCATGTTTTGTTTTTTTTACTTCAAAATAGAGTCCTATGGGACCCGACTCAAAACAGTGTGGTGTGGGACCCATTTTGAAAGTTCAACGCAGGCGTGGGCGGGACTATATATGAGTGGAAAGTAAAATACACAAATAATTACTGTATCCTTATCATACATCATTTGTGCTGGATATTTTATTTGGCATTAATAAAAACATTTTACGAAGCCTATTTCTCGCGTGCACATTTTAAACAATTCCTTTCCGCTTCTCAGTGTTTGATAGAGCTTAAGAAAGCGAACGTCCTGAATTTGTGGGATTTGCGGGCGGGATTTGCAGGAAAATCTCGCAGATGCGGGTGGAAACGGGAATGAAACTTACAATTCTTTGCGGGCGCAGGTGGGAGCAAGATTTAAAATTCTATCTCATGCAGACCTCTACTTCAAAACCTGCATTCTTACTGTGAGTGGGCTCACCTCTCCACAGATCTGTGACATGAGACTTGACCCTATGGCATCACCTGCTGTCTCCGTAGAGATAAAAAAAAGCATATTACCATACTGTGGAACATTCCATGGCCACATCTCCAAGGAGAGAAGCTGGTAATGAACTCGCTACCAGAAAACGTTACACAGTGCATCTTTAAATGAATGAGTCTTACCTGGTTTGGCTTCTTGCTGGATGAAGTTTGCATGTCTTCTTTTCGTCTTGCAGTGCTTCACAACTGCTTGATCTGAAAATATACAAAAATATTTATTAGTCTCCTGCCAACAAACTTAAAAAAATACATTCAAAACTACTGCCAAAACCTCCTATAAGCTGGAAAAAGTCTTATCTAATACCACACTACCTCTGCTCTGAATTTGTATTCTGCTTGGCGCACAGTTCATATGACTGCAATACAATATTCAGCGCTGGGTCCAAAGGCTAATCTGCGCATTAAATTGGAGAAGCAGCTCCCTTCATATCACCCTCACTCTCTCATGCACCAATGTAAATACTTTAAACATATTCCAGCCCGCACACATACTGTATATCCAAGGCCAGCTCCAGCCCGGGCCCCGTAAGGTTAACACATAAGGTTCAAGAGCACACGGCGTTGGCCCCTCCCAGGATCTTTAAGCCCCTCTATATTGGTTTGTTCTTATAAAAGCGTGACCTTTAACTCTCATTCAGATGGCAGGTCTTACAGTTCAGCTCACCTGTCAATAGCAATAAGACATAAAGATGGAGGAGGGCTTAAAGTTACCGGCGTATGACCCAGGTATTGTAAACCAGGGTGACACAGGTTTATCCTTTGTGTATTGTACTTTTCATTGATTTGTCTTTATAGGGTTTTTTATTACACTATGGTCTGATCTATGTTATAATGCTGTTTTTTTTTAACAAGGAAACCTTTCTGTTCCACCCACTGTGATAGATAAACAACAAAAAAAAAAAAAGATAAACAAAATAATAATAAAGGTTACTCAAACATGTGTGAATGAAACAAAACACAGCTCCAAGAATGTTTTATGAGGAGGTAACAACATTAAAACACAATTTAAAGCTCAGAAGAGTAAATTTTGTTTAATATATGACCTTTAACATTAAATGGACAGTTACAAATTTTGGACATAGAACCTCATTTCCTAGTGAGCCAGAGTGTTGGAGACGTGTGGAGACAGTTATTAAAATATATCCAGTCCTTGTATTTGCAGAGGTCTCTGGTGCTAGGCTAGTGCATGTCAATGGCCATAGTTAGCCTGCCACTAAAAACAGTCTTACCCACTCCACAAAACACCCAAAGCAAATCTATTATTACACCAGACTGTCAATGTAGATGTCTGTGTTGATAGAATAATGTTTGAAATAAAACTAACCTTGCATCGCATAAATGTTGAGGGACTATTTTCTCATATATCAGTCCGCCGCTGCCAAGCTTTCTATCAGGAAGTACAACTCACTGCTGCTGCTCAGACATAAAACCTTCAAATGCATGTTTTTACTTCTAAAATTATTCTATTGACACATTTACATCAACAGTCTCGTATAATAATAATTTTGCTTTGGGTGCTTTGTGGAGTAGGTAAGACAGGCTAACTATGGCCATTGACATGCACTAGCCTAACACCAGCGACCTCTACAAGTACAAGGACTGTATGGAATATTTTTAAAAGTTTATCCACGTGTCTCCAACACTCTGGCTCACTAGGAAATGAGGTCCTATGTCCAAAATTCCGGACTATCCCTTTAAGAAATGGCTCAACTGGAAAGGATTTATGAAGCTATCATTATTATTATTACAAAACTCACCCCAAGTAACCGATATGTTGCTATGTTGATAATAGTCTTCTTATGTAAGTAAAGAGCTCCACTCAACCTACATAAAACCACTACAAATTAAAACACACACACACACACACATACACACAGCAATCTATGTGGAGATGTTAAAAGGGAGCGAGGCCAGTGGGGGGCCTGCTGGAGTAAATTAGCTCTATACAATGGGTCTATCAACAGTCAGAGCTAATATGCTTCAACACCATCGGATCATTGGCCTTATTATCCCAGTCAGCTCCGTGTTGTGTTCAAGTGCAGTCCATCAATCTGGATTTAAAGGCTATATGTCTCAATTAGGACCTGGAGAGAGAGACTACAGCGGGGAATTGCTTTGTTTCTGCTTTTATTCGTTCTACTTGTTGCGTGTTAACTCTGTATCTCTGTGAAGCATCTTAATTTGCCTGTTAATGGATAGGGCTGTAAATATAATTATATCTTATCTAAATTAACTGATCGAAAATAGTTTGGTAGTTTTAAGTAAAATAGAACTTTGGTACTATGCGTAATGCTTCTTAAAAGGTCCCATATTACCCAAAATTGACTCTTGTGAGCTTTAAGACTCATGTTGTAATGCTGTTACCTACGGAAGCCGAGAGGGGTCACAACAAACGCAAATGCCGCAACAAATACAACTGCGACAACACAACAAAAAGCCACAACAAACCAAAAAAACCCACAACGGAAATGACCGTGTTACGCTATTTTAATGCAAATGCTGCAACACAAACACAAATGCCGCAACACATTAAAAAGCCACAACACATCAAAAAGCCACAGCGGAAGTGAAGGCGGGACTCTATTTTCAGACGGACTGATCAAGCGGCAAGTGAAAAAGAAGAACTACAACGTGAAAAATAAAGGAACGGAGAAGTAGAAAATGTAAGTAATGTATTGTTTTATCATTATTCATTTCACGTTGTAGTTCTTCTTCTTCACTTGCTGCTTGATCGGTCCGTCGGAAAATAGAGTCCTGCTGTCACTTCCGTTGTGGCTTTTTGATGTGTTGTGGCTTTTTAATGTGTTGCGGCATTTGTGTTTGTGTTGTGGCGTTTGTATTTGTTGCGGCGTTTGCATTAAAATAGAGTCCCGTGGTCATTTCTGTTGTGGCTTTTTTGGTGTGTTGTGACTTTTTGTTGTGTTGTCGCATTTGTATTTGTTGCGGCATTTGCGTTTGTTGTGACCCCTCTCGACTTCCGTAGTTACCTCATCAAAAACAAACCTGGAGTTGTGTTATGTTTCATTCAAAAGTTTGAGTAAGTCTTTAATATTAGTCTCTCTACATCTCCAAAGCTCAAAATATTGTGTTCCACCTTGTGATGACATGAAGCAGTAGTTTTCAAGTTAACAGCTACTGTACTTTTTAACTTTTGTCATGTAGAGATTGGCAATTCCAGGGCTGAAATTATCAAAAATAATTCTAGTGAAGAGTGTATATCTGTATTACCACATGACATCACAAAGTGGAATGGAGTGTTTTCTGTTTGAGAGAAGCACTCAGCCTAAATATGCAGGATTTGTGAGTTAAACATGTGTGAATGAAACAAAACACAACTCCAGGTCGGTTTTTGTATGATGAAACAACATTATATCATATCAGATAATAGTGTAACCTGGGTCATTTTAATACGCATCTTTGGTTCTATACAGTATTGACAATAATCTAGCATATGTTGTTATGGAAATACTGACTTAATAAACAAATGAAAAGGTCCACAATGTAACTTTTCTAGAGAGCCCGCTACCTGCTGACCGTCTTGGAGATGTTACTGCTTTGCCTAGAATATTTTACAGTATGGCATTAAAATGATTTATCTCCTCGAAGACAAGCTCACGATTTCACTGTCACATCTGTGGACATGTTTTTTGTTTTCTGTTTTCTTATTTTTGGCAATAAAAACACCTGTAATTGAATACATGCAAGATTTATAAGTTTAACGCTGAACTGTGAAACAATCCAGGCAAAGCGCACTCCCCCGCCAGAAAAGTTACACAGTGCCTCTTTAAAATCACATGTTTTGGTCTGTCTTGTGTGATTCCACCCAAAAAACACAGTGGAGTTAAGTGATATTATTATCTACATCTGTCTGTGTATAGATCTGACAGCTGCATGTGTGTGTATCATTATGAACCACAGCACATCTAAAAAACAGATGGGACATTACGACAGATATTTCAAAACATACAAATTTTTCCCTCTTAAATTTGCTTCAAAGCTCTAGAGATAAATAAATAAACCAATAACGAACGGCATAAAAACAAAAATAAACACAACTCAATTAAGAAAATCATTAGCTAAATTATAAACGCATTAGGTAAAACTTAATGATTGCAAAGAAAACATTATTATCTAATTATGAAAAACTGAAATATGAGTGTTTTTTTTTGTTTTTTTTCAGATTTCAATTTCAAATATGTATGATACTTATATATGATACCCTTTTCTATTTAAATATTTGATGTTGGTCTAGATTTAAATATTACATAGCGCCTTTCAAGATACCCCAAGCTCTTTATATTGCATTATTCATTCACCCCACACTTTGAGGGTGGTGGTAAGATAATATTACAGCCACAGTTGCCTCGGGACGGACTGACCGAAGAGAGGCTGCCAATCTGTGCCATTGGCCCCCCCCAACCATGTTACCAATGTTGTCATGATTCATTCAGCTATACATTTAATTTCAATTACATTTTACAGAAAAGCCCAAAAGGTCACTAAGGCTTCGTTCAGACTGCAGGGCTTAATGTTTAATTTTTTTTTTTTTTTTTTTGTGATATCAGATTTTTTTTTTTTTTGCGCAATTGTTCACATTTCCAGTTAAATGCGACTTGTATGTGATCTCCAGTGTGAACTTTAAATGCCCCAAAAGTGTCCCGCATGCGCACTGGAGGACATGACGGCATCAAAGACAGACAGCGTACTCAGTGTTTACGGAAGTCGCCTAAACGCTGGACGTGTCTCCCAAAATACGGTTCAGTTCTTCGTAAAATGGACAGGTTACATGTCCACGGTCGGTTATGTTTGTTTGAGACTTTAGCCTCCTTGTATTTGTCTCACAGGCCCTTTATTTTTTGTTGACATTGGAGCCAGGACCACCTGTCGCAGCGCTCGGACATTTCTTCGGCAATCATTTCAAAAACCGCCCGGTTGCGATAAGACCCCTCCAATTTGGCCTGAATGTTGTCGAAGTTTTCAGCTTGTCCAAGAAAGGGTGGAAGTAAAAGGCTGGAGACCAACTGGAGTCTTAAGCAAGAGAAGTTTATTTACCATCTATAATATGGGCCCGGGGGGATTTGAAAAGTCAACATAGTATGATTTCAAAAGTGAACATAGTTTGATCTTTGAGTTTTCAAGCCCCTTGACTCTGCTTCCAAAGGAGGAGGTTTATAAAGCAAGTGGTGAGAGTATGA